ATTTATCGTCAAAAGTCGCTCGCCAGCTGGCAAAATAAATGGGGTGAAGGGTATTTGAGACGATGGCTATATTCGATCATCCCTAAGGTGTCAAAGAGTCCTTGGTTCAAAGGGTTCATTCGTGTAATGTCTCGCCTCATGTCCAATCACTCTTCGTTAAACGCTCACATGTTTCGAGTTTGGCTGGGCGACAGCAATCTCTGTGAATGTGGACAAGGTTAGCAGGACGAAGATCACATTATTTGGTCTTGTGCTTAGCATCGTGGAGTCAGATCTGAGCTATATGATTCCCTTCGGGCTCGAGGTAGACACCTAATGTTCCAGTTCGGGATGTTTTGGCTGGACGCGATTTGGAGTTTATGAAACTCATATATGTTTTCTTGAAGAATATTAACCTTAGCTTGTTAGTTTGATTAAACTTGTGTTTAGTTTGTATTTTGTGTGTGTGTGGATTTTTTAAGTTTTTTTTTTATAATAGTATAATTACCGCAATCTATTTATTTATTTGTCGTCAATCAGTGTAGACCGTTTTACAATTGTTGTCTTAAGTGCTATTTTTACAATTTTGTCTTTGTTTATATTTTTTTATAATATGTCTTAAGAACAAGTTAAAACATTACTTCTAGCTGACGTTATGTGAGGAATTAATATATTGCTTTAATTTGGTTTTTGTCATTGTAAAGTCAATGTTATCGCAGTTCTTATTATATGTATCCATCATTTGGTTCAACGGTCCAAATTTGGCATAATTCGTACGATGACGATTTTAGCAAATATATTTCTGTTTCGTAAATGCCTAGATGGTGTATATACATTTAAGGATGACAATAGTTCTATTGAATCAATGCGGTGTGATACGATATCGTTTACGAAAGAAATCATAGCAAATTCACGACGCTCTTTTAATGTTTGGATATTTATGAGCATACACCGAGCTGTGTAAGATGGCAGAAGAAATACAGTCCAGCCTAACTTGCGGAGTTCATACAATAGAAACTGCTTTTGAACGGACTCTATTCTTTCTTTGTGTGCGATTGAAAAAGGAGACCAAACTATGCTGCAATATTCTAATATCGACCTTACATAAGCAATGTACAATGTTTTTATCGTATACGGATCGTGAGAGTTCTAGCAGAAACGTTTTCTGAAACCAAGCATGTTGTTAGCTCTGTTAATAATTGTGTTATAATGATCGGTGAAAGTAAGTTTTGAGTCCAAAATAACACCTAGATCCCTGACTCTATCACACTTTTCTACGATCTGGTTTCCTAAAGTGATTGTTATATCGGTTAGGATTCGTTTTCTACTAATGGTAATTGAGTTACAATTACCGCAATCTGATGCTATCATAAATTTCAGCAATGTCAGGAACGCTCACGAACCCCCATTTGCAAGAAAACTTATTACTAACTCAAGGTATCTTCCAAATAAGCTTCAAAATTGCATTTTTTTTTATCAAATTTTAAATTCAGTCCTCTATATCCGTAATACGCGCGCGAGGCTGAAACCTTTGTAGACTACTTTTTTTTTAATCTACTACTTTTAAATTAAATATTAAAAATCCATCATCACCATCGTAGTGAACACAATATTTTTTTTCCGTGCTACAATAATTATTGAAAAGTCATTGTGACGTCGTCAGGATACATAATTTGTCAATTCATAAAACAAAATCACTGGATAACTGTTCAAAAGACAGATTTAACGTGTGAAATGCAGTATCTTTTAAACTCTGCAAGTGTTGCTGAACGTTTGATACGTCTAGGCATCGAATTGAAAACATTTATTTCTTTAAAATATAATGAATTTTGTGAAGCACAAGTCATGAAATGTGGGCTCTTATTTCAACTGCATTTCTAGTATTATATCTATGAAAGTCACTTGCCCTTTCAATTCGATCACACAAATATCGTGGCAGCAAACCGTTAACTACTTAAAAAATGAACACCATAGTCAAATACACTGGAGTCGCTTTTTACGCGGGTGATACGTCCCGCGTAAAAAAAAAACCGCGTAAAAAAAACCGCGTAAATTCCGGAATCCGCGTAAAAAAAAACCGCGTAAATTCCGAAATCCGCGTAAAAAAAACCGAGTAAAAAAAGACCGTGTAAGAAAAAACCGCGTAAAAAGCGATATACCGCGTAAATTCTGAAATCCGCGTAAAAAAAAACCAAAATCCGCGTAAAACAAACCGCGTAAATTCCGGAATCCGCGTAAAAAAACCGCGTAAATTCCGAAATCCGCGTAAAAAAAACCAAAATCCGCGTAAAAAAACCGCGTAAATTCCGGAATCCGCGTAAAAAAAACCGCGTAAATTCCGAAATCCGCGTAAAAAAAAACCGCGTAAAAAAAAACCGTGTAAAAAAACCGCGTAAAAAGCGACTCCAGTGTATACAATTCTTTGCTTCACCGACAACCATTGTAAGGCGTCTAGCATCAAAGTGGAGGAAGCGAATCTAGTACATCTCAAATTCAAACGCATCATTTTATTCTGCAAGCGCTGTAATCACGATATTTGTGTCACATTGGTCAACATCAAAATGGAAGGGTAAAATTCTAGATGAGGAGAGATGATTGATTTGTATAGACGTATTTTACTGGCAATAGTTAAATCGATTTTCAATCGACATAGAATTCCATACTTCTTGGCAATTTTCTTGATCAGGGTTGCTTCCACTCACTTGCTATAAAAAAAATATTTTTCGGAATTATGCAATCATTAGATGTTATAATGATAAGTTGTACTTGTAAGTAACAAGAAGAGGGTGTAAAGTATGTGTTTGATTTATAAAACCTATCAATTTCGCTTTCAGAGCGTCACAATCAGCGATCTTGTGATTCGTGAGCGTTCACTCAGAGTGAGCGTTCACGAGTCGTAAAATCGCTGCTTGTGACGCACTGAAAGCAATATTGACAGATTTTATGTGTCAAACATATACTGCATGACTTCTTGTTGTAACTTACAAGTACTAATAAGCATAATACTATTTCATGATTTCATAAATCCGAAAAACATTTTTTTATAGCAATTGTGAAACGGCGTCGTCTTAATTCTTAGCTGCAATGAATAACACAGTATCATCTGCAAAAAGATTAATGTCGCAAAATCGTAAAACGCGTCGCAAGTCATTAATATACATAATACATAACAGGGGCCCAATACACTTCCCTGGGGTACTCCAAGGTCATTCCCCACGGGACTGGAAATAGAATCATTAAAAAAAGTCCTTTGATTTCTGTCAAACAAATAGCTTTCAAACCATTTATATGCAGTACTCGTAATTCAACTTATATCAGTGGATTTCAGTAATCAAGTAATTCCACAGTATTCCGTAATCAGTAATTCAGTAATTCCACAGTACTCCGTAATTATGATGTGATACAAGGGGCTCGGCGGCCTTAGAGCGACCGCTTTTGCTTACTGAGCAGAATACCATGAGTCTAATCTCAGGCCCATCCACATACAAGATTCATGAATCGTTTTTTTTTGAAAATATGACAACATTGTAATAACAGCAACTCGATGATTAATAAGGAGCTCGTTTGCCTTGTGGCAAACGTTTTTGCTTGCTGAGCAGAAAATCGTGGGTTCAATTCCAAGCTCCTGCGCGTTATATGATCGTTAGGACACCAATTAAGCTTATCGTTTACCAAGACGAACCCTGCTGCAAACCCTACCCTATTACCCAATATCCTCCCAGTGATTCCTCATGGAAGTGCACAGGTGTTCTCGGCTTCCATCAAAGCGAGTGTCATGTCAACACATTCCTACCCATTCCTTTCTTGACCTGCGTTCGGGAGCGGGCGGCGCTGGTATTGCCTAGTTTGAGATCACCAGTTTTTACACATTGAGGATGATTGCTAGTCCCAAGATACGTCTATTGGTTCTCTGTGTAATTACAGCTGATCTGGCAATAATAGAGTAGCAACCGTGGGCGGTCAATCATGCTCATGCTTTCATTCGTTGCATTTTACGTCTAATAAAAGGTAACCGGCAGTCCCATATAAACTAATTTCACCATAAAATGGGGAGAAACGGGCGGCACGAAATAAGTGCGGTTCTGGGTCAGTTTTTGAGTGGAAAGCGTGACTTCTTTCTAACCACAGTGTGCCTGGGCTCAATCCCAGCCGAGGTCATTAGGATTTTTCTGAGGCAATAAAAAAATCACTGGGCCCGGAGGGAGGCAAGCGTTCAAAGGAAGTGATTGAATGTTTCTATTGGCTCGCATTTAATTAAATTCGTTGAAAGTAAGTAGCACTTGACGAGAAGATTCTTGGATCAAATCAAGAGGTCTTATGGCCTTCAAACCTTGGACGAACCAATTAAGAAGATCTAGTAAGTTAGCTCCACTAGTCTTGTGGAGGCCTCTTAGGACAAGTAAAGTTAACTTATGAAACGTGAGCACATGTCTTATGAGGTACGATTATGATACTTAGGAGACAAGTACTGAGTTAGACTTCTGGAGTTAAGATGTAAAACGTAAGCTAACTCGTAAGGTGTCCTAGGAAAGAGTTTATCTACATCCTTTAAACGGAGTCAAACGGCATATTTTCATTTCTTTGCTACACCATCAATATATTGTGCTTTGTTTTGGTTTTTAGAATATCGTGAACATATTCCATCTTTGAAAACTTTTGTTCACACGTCAATCCCATACGAAATATTAATCGAACTTCAAGAGGTCTTATGTTTTCATTGAAATTCTATGGATTTTTTATGTCAATTTACTACAATGTTAAATCAAAATACATTTGTACAACAAGCACCTAGTAAAAAAATACAATTTCAACCCCAACAATGGAGGAATGTTAGCTGAGTTCCAAATTTTGCAATTAATCATCATACGATAAGCCCAACGATATCGCTCAAGATTATCACACACTTTCGTCATTGAAATTCTTCACCTCCTAGCTCACCCACCACAGTGAGTGTAAGCTTAAGCCGCTCAAACACCAACCAAAATAAAACAATATCACCCAATAAGGATTTTATCAACTAGACCAGCGCCGCGCGATAAGACGTGCTCGATTGGTACATGTATCGATTTATGGCATTTCTACTTATTGACTAGCGCGCAATCGCAAGTGGATGATATAAACGACCGAAGAAGAAAATCGAACAAACCGAACCAAATCGCGTAGGTGGTGCGTTTAGTGATAAGCGTGATCGACAGCGGACAGTGCAAACTTAATTAGAAAGGAAGTGTGAATCTAGCGACGACAACATGCAACATTTTTCGCTGCTGACAGCCGGCTGGAGCTACATTCCAGCCGGACTGACGTTTGGCTACCTGCTGATGTTACCGATTCCTGTGCACGAGACCTTCGTTCGAATCTACGCGGAGACCATGTACTGGCCGTTCCTGGTGGCCATCATCACGCTGCTCATTTCGGTGGCCTTGACCAACGGGCTGAAGCTGAACTATCGCAAGTGTCAGTTCGTGCACCTGTACGTGATGCTGGCGGCCATGGTGTTCTACCTCGGCGCCGGATTGGTATTCCTACTGGTGAAAGGTATGTTTACGTGAGTAATGATAACCACCTAGTAATTCATCTATTTCATCACACAAACACCTCACAAATCGAATGCGTCAGGTTATCTTATCGGGGACGAGTGCGACCCTTTCCCGCGAATGGCGATGTTGTTTAGGTTATGGATGACTAATATGTTCGGCTTTTGACCTAGAATGAATAGAAACACAACAGCGGAAATCAACGCACCATAATTGGACTGATAACGGTATGGATGGCTGGCAGTCGGTTTAATACAAATCAATGATGATCTTGTTTTTGGGTTCATTGGAACGGGTGTCGTTCAATGGACCGTTCGCTACTTAAGCCTGGTACGCAGCTGAAAAGTAATGACGTTTTTACGTGCTACGGAATAGGACACGGAATGCTAAAGAAATTTCTTTTAATTAGCATTTCTTGACCCAGTACGCAGTTCAAAAGAAATCGGTAAAGAAAAGATCGATTACATTAGTATCGTGATCGATATGAAGATGGCGCATTCTGAATGCAATTTCATTTTCCTTGCGGAATAATGGTCTGACCAATTATTCCGTTAGGTAATTTTAACGTTTGTTGTAAAAATGATGTTTTGGATGCATTTTAACAACATAAAAATTGATAATTGTTGATTTTAAAACTAGACGACACCTACCTATGATCTCAAAATTTAGCAAAAGACACCTCCCTATAGCTGTCAAATTTACTTTTGGGAATATTCCTCAAAAATTACTTTTCCGTTTTCTTTTCAGCTGCGTACCAGGCTTTACATTAAAAGCAGTTGCGTTAAAGCTTTTACAGATTAGTTAATGATTTCAAAGACGTTCGAATGATCCATTTCGCCTCACTCATCGCAATCGAGCCCAAAAGAGGTCCTGGTCATCCTTTCATAATATGAGGCCGTAATTTGTTGCAATCAGACATATCATTGGTCATTTAAACTTTGTATGGGGATTCCTATGGGCAAAACCCTCCTTCATACACTAAATACTAGGGGGCATCAATTAAGTACGTCCCGCAAATTTTGAGCAAAATTGGAAAAATAAATGCATTTTCATATACTTGGTTTATTCTTGGTTTAATATCACTTTAAAACTAATATTTTTAGTAAGGTACTGGAAAATCAATAACATCTGCATAGCATACCCAACTAACATTTTCAGCTTTGTAAGCCAACTTTTCCAGCGTTGTGCTGTAAAGTAGCTGAAAAGAAGCTGCTGATACAGCTACAAGCAAAAGCTAGCAAAATAGTTTTGGAGAGCGTTTACTCAACTTTCTCACAACCATTATTCAATTTGTCAGTCGCACTGAATAACATCAGCCAATAAACGCTAATGTCACTTCTATACACACACTAATCAACTTTCAACTTGTAGCTGCAAAACAAAGCTAACAAAGTGAATATATTACTCATTTGATGGCTTTTGAACAATCAACCACTCTTGCTGAATAACATAAACATCAAAAGTGCTTTTTCAACAACTAAACAACCTGTACTCAGCTTATAAACTGTGTTAGAGCAACTTCGGAAGCATTTTCACAGTCAACTAGGTTTATTTTTAGACGTGTGCAGTTTTACAGCTTTTACTCTGCTCTTTTATAACTAGTCGAGAAAAGTCATTCGTGTGCACTATTATAAAGCCTCTACTCAGCGATTTTGTTGTAGAAGGGAATGTTGATTTGTTTACATAAGTTCAAAATGTTGGCGTAGCACAGTTGGTAGTGTCAAGGTTTGCCAATGAGGTCGTCTCGAGTTCGATTCCAGGTTCCGGTGCAGGGTAAATAATTTGGTGATGATTTGTAGCTAATTTCGATTAAATTGATACACAGCAAAATAAACTCAATAAATTCCTTCATAAAAAACAGTATTTAACCCAGCTTCAAAAGAAAGCTGTGTAGTGATTATTGGATAACCGGGAAAAGGTTGAATAAGCGCCATTCAAGTTCACACACAACTAAACAGCAGGATAACAGCTGTATAGAAGCGTTAATGGATATGCAATAAGAGCTTCTCCCGACCGTTCCAACAGCCATAAGTAGCTGAGTAAGTTCGCCAGATTTGCTTGTATAGAGGTTGAGTAAAGGTTTCCTCATATCGTATAACCTTTGAATGCAGCTTGGGGCTGTATAAATGAAATGAGTAAAGCGTTTACATTGTGAAAATTGTTAGTTGGGTAGCCAACTGATGGAAACCAACCAATTAGCTTGAGACCGAAGAGAGTTCCAGAGCTGAGCCCTGAGGTCTTAGAGTTAGCTCTATGGAATTACTAAGCAGGAATGTTTTACACTCTGAAATGCTGTGTTTCATCTAAATTGATTGTTCATTGCCGTTATAAAACCATCATAAATTAGAGTGAATGCCTAATGGCCACTGAATTGTTACTTGGGTACTGCCGAAGGCTTTGGCTGGTTTTAAGATTGTTCCTTACGATCTTTATTGTCCGTCGGTTAAGAACTCTTTGAAGGATCGAGTTTGTGCCAATTTCGATCCACTTCGATTTACTTCTGCGTACTACAGAACACTATTTAATTTTCTTTTAAACCGGCAATTGGAGACAATTTAAGGAGACAAATTTACGAACCAGATTTAGGAAAACCTTGAATACACGAAAAGACTTGCGCCATTCACTGGTGGATCAATCTGATTTATTATATTGAGCATTAATATCAATACAGACTCAATGATTTGCATCATTTTTAATAAACATTTAAAACATATCGATTGCTCTAATCCTTGATCCCAGGATTCTGCAAATGCTCTTCGATTGCTATGATCGCATGACTTGATGCTTCAGCATCTTTGTAGTTGTCAAACGGCACTTCTTTCAAATCAATATCGATTTCATCGAGCCACTCGAAATCACCAGTTTTATCTGCAAGCACCAGCAGTTCCTTTTGACGTCTTGCGGCAATTCGTGTCGGACGAACTTTTTTTTTATAGTTGTTGTCATTTTGTGTACCTTCTTGTGAACCATCAACATGACCAGAGATGCAAAATATAGACCGCAGTGGCACAAACTCTATCCTTCAAAGAGTTCTTAATCGACCGACAATAAAGATCGTAAGGAACAATCTTAAAACCAGTCAAAGCCTTCGGCAGTACCAATTCAGTGGCCATTTGGCATTCACTCTGATTTATGATGGTTTTATAACGGAAATAAACAATCAATTTAGATGAAATACAGTATTTCAAAGTGTGAAACATTCCTGCTTAGTAATGCAGCTTTTTGATGTTTTAAAAACCTTTTATAGTCTGGCGAGAAAGTCAGAAGCGGTCTTATTAATTTAAAACAGTCTTCAATCCCTCCATAAAACTGTTCTGAAATGCAAATATAAACTTCATTAGCAATTGTTTATTAATGTCTTGATAAAATACTCTTTAAACGTGTTGTATCATTATAAAAGCAACCATAAAACCAGTTGGTTTTAAATGAGAGTAAACAGCATTATATTGTTCCTTTTTAGATTTTTTAAATTTTTTCATAAAATCCCCAATTACTATGTTTACACATTGTACTTAGAATATGGATCCTCATAGTGAATAAAAGCCAAATTTATGACAAGGGAAGCTCGTAGGATAGACGAAGTCAATTTCAGCAAAATACACTGCTTTAGAAAAACCACCAGGCTGAAGCGGTACCATCAATGACTGAGCATCTGGCGGAGAAGAGCGAAGTGAGTGTGGTCCTGGAGTTCATAAAACATTCTTGAAACAGTGTAAATACAGACCAGCCTTCTCCAGGTCTTGCGAATAGATGACGATCGGAATAACTTGCATCAGTACCGAACGCAAACGGTCAGCTCAGTGTTCACTCGGCTGTCGACAAAAGAAGGCCACTCTCGATGTGTGCCACGAATAGAGCTAATAAACTATAGAGGAAGAATATCGCTGCCGTCGCTGTCGAAATATCTTTTCCTTACATCTAATAGGGACACAACTGTCAAAGTGAGAAAAAACTATACAGTTTGACAGTTCTGTACCCAGTATTATTCAACATCGGAACAAAGGGAACACCAGCGCTATTCTTCCTCTATAGTATATTAGCTCTATTGTGCCACGCGATCATCTGTTTTCTCGGCAGCAACCATTGTGTGGTCCTCCTCATTGTTCTTCATCAGCAGTTCTTTCGGTCGATGCGTCGTCGACTTTGGAAAGCAACCGTTTCGTGATGAGTGTGTGAGTATTGTCCACGTTTTGCGTCCATTGCGGCAATTGAGGTGCTCTGCCCTCCGTTGGCGATACTGCCATACAATGAAACCACTGGGAGTGGCTCCAGTTTTGATGGATGCAGCTTTTTGGATAGCGGAAGATAAAGTATTTATTGTGTTGTACCTTTTGACTATAGTTTTAAGATGTATTGTATAGTGACCAAGAATCCTCGAATCTGTAAAGTTAATTCGTTTGAGCCTTATCAAATAAATCAATAAACAACAGCAAACTGTCAGCTACTGGAGACTAACTGCTTTTGGATCCACAGCAGCGATTTTATTCTGTGAAAGGGTCAACTCTTCAAAAATTTCATTCAAGCGTACATTCCTGCATCGGAAATCATCCGGAAGAAGGGGATATGTTTCGATAACGATTGAGCTTCCAGTTGTTCGAAATGCGAAATGCCGTAAAACAGTATTGTATTTTTTCAGATGTTGTTTTCGTTTTTGCTACACTCAGGCATGGAAAATCATTTGCATTCATTTCATACATTCATTTACATTCATTTACCTCTAACTGTTGTCATCAACGGCATTTCGCAAAATGATGTATAGCGCTTTTGAAGGTTTTATTATTAGCTACAACTTTTGGTCATAACTCAAATCTGTATCTCTTATGCATCACGAACTAGAGCGGGCAGAACTTGTTACTGTTTTTCAGTGAATGTAAAATACATTCACTGAAAAACAGTAGTGGCTTCTGTTCGCTCTTGTTCGTCATGCATCAGAGATATGGATTTGACTTGTTAACAGAAGTTGTAGCTAATAACAGTACCTACAAAAGCTATATACATCAT